TTGGCCTTTATTACGTTGAGGAATGCCCCATTTATTCCCATTTTGCTGAGTGTTTTGATCATAAATGGGTGCTGTACCTTATCGAATGCTTTTTCTGCGTCTATTGATATGATCATGTGGTTTTTGTCTTGTCTTTATTTTTTAATTATCTATTTCATTTTTTTATTTTTTTTAAATTTATTTGTCTTTATGTGATGTATCACGTTTACTGATTTGCGTATATTGAACCATCCCTGCATTCCTAGGATGAATCCCACTTGATTGTGGTGGATAATCTTTTTAATGTATTGCTGGATGCGGTTTGCCAATATTTTGTTGAGGATTTTAGCATCTATGTTCATCAGCGAAATTGGCCTGTAGTTTTCTTTCTTTGTAGTGTCTTTATCTGGTTTTGGGATCAGGGTGATGCTGCCTCATAGAAAGAGTCTGGGAGTGTTCCCTCCTCTTGGATTTTTTGGAATCGTCTGAGAAGGACAGGGGTTAGCTCTTCCTTAAATGTTTTGTAAAATTCTCCTGGGAAACCGTCTGGCCCTGGGCTTTTGTATGCTGGGAGTTTCTTGATGACTGCTTTAATTTCCCCAGCTGTTACCAGTCTGTTCAAGCTTTCTGTTTTCTTCCTCCTTCAGTGTTGGAAGATTATACTTTTCTAAAAATTTGTCCATTTCATCAAGATTTTCAAATTTCTTGGCATATAATTATTCATAATAGTTTCTGATGATCATTTGTATTTCTGTGGTATTAGTTGTTATTTCTCCTCTTTCATTTCTGATATTATTAATTTGGGTCCTCTCCCTTTTTTTCTTGATGAGTCTGCTTAAAGGCTTGTCAATTTTATTTATCTTTTCAAACAACAAGCTTCTGGATTGGTTGATCCTCTGAATTGTTCTTTTTGTCTCTATGTCATTCAGTTCTGCTCTAATCTTGCCTATTTCTTTCCTTCTACTTGCTCTGGGATTTATTTGTTGTTGTTTCTCCAGTTCTTGAAGTTGTAGTGTTAGGTCTTTTATTTGAAATGTTTCTATCTTTTTTAGGTAAGCCTGTATTGCTATGAACTTCCCTCTCAGGACCGCCTTCGCTGTGTCTCATAGGTTTTGGACCGTTGTCTGTTCATTTTCATTTGTTTCCAGAAACTTGTTTGATTTCTTCTCTTATCTCATTATTGACCCATTCATTGTTTAATGGTGTACTTTTCAGTCTCCATGAGTTTGCAAGTTTTTGAAGTTTCTCTTTGAGGTTGATTTCCAGTTTCAAACCCTTTTGGTCCGAGAAAAAGTTTGGTATTATTTCAATTTCCCTAAATGTGCTGAGGCTTGCTTTGTGTCCTATCATGTGGTCTATCTTTGAAAAACTGCCATGAGCATTTGAAAAGAATGTGTATTTTTCTTCTTTGGGATGTAAGGTTCTCTATATGTCAGTTAAGTCTCTTTGATTCAGTGCGTCATTCAGCGCCACGATATGTTTATTAATGTTTTGTTTTGAAGATCTGTCCATTTTTGACAGTGGGGTGTTGAAATCCCCTACTATCAGTGTGTTGCTGTCTATATCTTTTTTGAAGTCATCCAACAATTTCCTTATAAACTTGGGGGCTCCTATATTGGGAGCATATAAGTTTACAATGTTGATGTCTTCTTGATAGATTCTTCCTTTATGTATGATAAAGTGCCCCTCTGGGTCTCTCTTTATGGCCTTTGCTTTGAAATCTACTTTGTCTGATACAAGTATGGCAACGCCAGCCTTTTTCTCATGTCCATTTGCTTGGAATATTATTTTCCATCCCTTTACTTTCAATGTGTGTAGGTCTTTTGCTCTGAGGTGGGTCTCTTGTAGGCTGCATATGTGTGGGTCATGTTTTCTTTTCCATTCAGCTACCCTGTGTCTTTTGATTGGGGCATTGAGTCCATTCACATTGAGAGATATTACTGATAGAAACTTACTCATCTTTTCTCTTTGTACTTGTGTTCCTCTCTGTCTCATTCTTTTCCTTCATCTGCTTAAACCAGTCCCCTTAGCATATCTTGGAGAGCTTGTCCTGATAGAGATGTATTCTCTTAGCCTTCTTTTGTCTGGGAAACTCCGTATTTCCCTTTCTATTTTAATGGAGAGCCTAGCTGGGTAGAGCAGCCTTGGCTGTAGGCCCTTGCTCTTCATGGCTTGGGATATTTGTTTCCATTCCCTTCTGGCTTGTCATGTTTCTGTTGAGAAGTCAGCTCCTAGGCTTATCGGGGCCCCCTTGTATGTTACTTTCTCCTTCTCCCTTGCTGCCTTGAGGATTCTCTCTTTGTCTTTGACATTTGCCATTTTAATGATGATGTGTCTTGGAGTGGGCCTCATTGGGTTCCTCTTGCATGGGGCCCTCTGTGCTTCCTGGACCCGTGAGATCTTTTCTCTCCTCAAATTGAGGAAGTTTTCCATCATTACTTTTTCAAACAGGTTCTCTATCCCTTGCTCCTCTTCTTCTCCTTCTGGTATCCCTATTATACGGATATTATTGCGTTTCAGGTTGTCCTGCATTTCCCTAAATGCCTCTTCATTCTTTTTGGGCCATTTTTCCATTTCTTGTTCTTTCTGGGAGCTTTTTTCTACCTTTTCCTCTATCTCACTGATTCGATCCTCAACTTCATCCAGCCTGCTTTGGATTCCTTCTACTGTGTTCTTCAATTCAGAAATGGTATTCTTCATATCCTCTTGTGTCTTCTTGATAGTTTCTATGTCCTTTTCCAGGCTGATATAGTTTGCTGTAAGATCCTGATAGTTCTCTGCAGTTTCTCATAGTTCTCTTTGAGCTGGCTGAGCTCATTGAGCTTCCTTAGAACCATTGTTTTGAATTCAGTATCTGATAGTTCCCTTGCCTCTATTTCATTGAGCTCTCTCTGTGGGGAGTCCCCTTTTCCCCACAGAGAAGGAGGGGAACTTCTTTTTCTTCCCATTTTTGTGAGAGTCTGTTAAGTATTTTTGTCCTTTACTTTTCTTTCTGGGCTTGCCTCTGATGATGTCAGTTGTTGACCCTATAGGGCCTTGGGTTGTTTGTTTGAGCCTTTCAGGAGTCTAATGCCTGTGTCTGACTCCTGCTTGCAGCAGCTCTGTGACCCCTTCGGTCAGGGCTGGGCTATTTTCTGGGATCTCTCTGAGCTCTCACGCGGGCTCCTTGAGCGCGTTCCCAGCGCGGCAGCGTCCCCCACCTGCCTGGGCTCTCATGTGCTTGCCCCAGACCACGGGGCTTATTCGCGACCTCGTGTACTCATCTGGCCTCCCTGGCACGCGAGCTTCGCGGCACTGGTCAGTTTAGGGTCTTGTATTTTGTATTTTCCCAGCTTTTGGCTCTTTGGGTGCGTTGCTTGCCCTCGCCAAATGGGTACTACGGAAATGGAAGGAAAGCAGCTCTAGGACTCTCCGGTTAATCCTGTTTCTGGTCTCTCCTCCAGGGACTCTGGGCAGCTCCACTTACCTTGTGGGCCGCTCCGCAGTCGCAGGCAGATAGGTCAATTTACGCCTGCCCTTGCCCCTCTGTGCACTCCCTCGCAGGCCGTATGGGTGCCAGTGTGTGTGAGGCCTTGCCGGCAGGTGCAAGCATTCGCCAGTCACACACACGTTCGCCAGCCCTCACTGGTCACTCGGCGCAAGTCAGAATAATACTTTAAATTATAATGTGTGTATTCTGTTGGGAAACGCCCTGTCTGGTTTCAGGAACTCTAACCCCGCCGACAGACTAGAGTGCCTCACGGCTGGAAATAATCAGGGAGGCCTTGTGGAAACAGGCTCCTGAGGAGACAACCTGTTCACCCTGGCAGGGGCATAGCTCCTGCCTCTCTGCTTTGTCATGTGATGATCAGTAATCCATGACGGGTAAGTTATCTCATGCTGAGATGACAACCTAAGAGATATATCGATTGGATAAGGGCAGCAGACAAGAAATTGGAGGACATGGAGAAAGAGCAAAAAACCCACACCCGTCTGCTTGGCTTGGACTTGGCTGGAGTCCTCATTCTATCCAAAAGAAGTCTCCCTTTCTCTTGGTGGCTCCCTGCCCCCGCCTGGCTCAGGCCCGAAATAGTATTGGAGTCAATCCTAAACTACATCTGGCGGTTCCCAGGGAAATCAGACCTAAAAGTAAATTCTTTAAAGTGTGCTTTGTTCTTACCTCAGAAGCTATAGTCTGCTCATGCTGGGAAGGAAATTTACATTATTCACAGACCCTAACCCTATACCATTAGGCACTGTTATGTTTACTGTGTGCTCATGTTTAGTCATTTCTCTTGTTTACTAGTCTCCTCTCAGTCCCATGTAAATCCGTGTAAATCGGTGTGTTCCTGCCATTTGTTTTCTTCAAAACATCACCCATTCGCTGTGCACATTAACATACTGATGTAATGAGATAACCTGTGCATTCCTGTTACTTAGCCCCACTGGTAACCTTTTCAATAAAAACATTCGAACAAAGGGACTCTGGGTCTTCCCCACTAGAGGAATGTGCCACGTCCCCTCTCTTGGCAAACAGAGAAGTGCTTGCGACGACTCATGTTTATTTCCCCCATCCGTGACAACCCTGAGAGGGGCTCTACGGGATTCAGAGTCCCCGCTCCCATCTCAGCTGGCCCCAGATGGCAACCGTCAGATCCCAGAGCATCGCACTCCCCACAATGCGCTCCATCCCCCTACCTTACAGGTGGCTCCCCAAAAGGGACTATGCTACAGTGTTCACCTTGGGTTGCTTTAATTTGTGGATGGTGAGCTAAGGTCATTTTTGAATAAAAACTCCAAATTCAAAATCTTAAATTCTCTTAGTACATATATCCCAGTTACGTATGTAAATCTGAGTATAATAATAGTTGAAATAATAGGGCAAAAACGTGTGCCTAACACTTACCACTGTTTCATGCACTGTCATTTATAGGATATGTATATCTTTGGCACTTACATTACACGTGATTTACAATCCTATTTTTAAGCTTTAAAAAGAATGGTGGTCTTAATTTGTTAATATATTTAACATTATTTTACAGGTCACATTTCCTGGAGCAGGAAAATTTCCACAGATCATTGGAGGATCAGATCTAATTGCTCATCATGCTCGAAAGAATACAGAATTAGAAGAGTGGTTAAGGCAGGAAATGGAGGTTAGTAGAAAGAAAGGCCTGGTAAAATGTTTGATTTGCAGTTTGATCTTTTGTGGTTTCCTTAGAGTAAATTCTTAACACCAAACTTAAGTGACCTGAGGTTGGTTATTCAGGAAAATTCCTGAGTTACGGAGCATTAAGATTAATTGATACCTTTTCATAACATTTCTTAAAGGGATTCTAGATTTATTTGTTTAAGAAATGGGACCCAAACAAATGACTTAAGTTTCTATACTCATGTAAAGGGAAGAAAAGAGACTTAACCCACAAAAATTTAAAAGGAAACTAAAGGATAACAAATGAATGATCATAGAGTCATATGGAAGGATACATATTATAAAAATATCAATATAGTGGGAAGGATTGGGCTTTCTAAATCTAAATCATGTAAATTGTCTTTCAACAGTTCTGAGAATTTCTCTTTTCTTGAATACTACCTTTTTCCTGTTTTCTCTAATACCTCTTTTTGTCCTGTTTCTTAAAGGAACCCTCATACTGTTTTCGATAGTAGCTGTTCCATTTTATATACCCATCAACAGGGCACAAGGGTTCTAATTTCTGCACATCCTCTCCAACACTTGTTATTTTCTTTTTGCCAGTAAATATCCTAATGGGTGTGAAGTAGTGTCTCACTTGATTATACATTTCCCTAAGGGTTAGTGATGCTGAGCATCTTCTCATATGCAGGTTGCCCATTCGTACATCATCTTTTGAGAAATGTCTATTCAAACCCTTTCCCATTTTAATCTGACTGTTTATCTTTTGTTGTTGAGTTCTAGGAGTTCTTTATATATTCTGGATATTAACCCCTTTTCAGATATAACTTGCAAATTTTCTTATCTCTGGGTTGCCTTTTCTCTCTGTTGATTGTGTACTTTGGTACACAGAAGTTTTAAATTTTGATGTAGTCCAATTTATCTATTTTTTTCCTTTTGTTACCTGTGTTTTTGATGTTATATTCAAGCAATTGTTGCCAAATCCAGTGTTAGGAAGCTTTCTCCCTATGTTTTCCTCTAAGAATCTTTTAGTTTTAGCTCTTACATTTAGATTCTTGATCCACTTTGAGTTAATTTTTATATGTAATGTTAGGATACGTCTAACTTCCTTTTCTGTAGTTACACTTTTACACTTTGGTTTAATAATACATGAGCACAGCATCTCCAAGGTGGGGAGGCTTTAAAGTCAGTTATACTGTTGACAGCTGCTTGCTGAGGGAAACTTGCCTTAATGCCTTCTTCCACAGGCAGTTGTTATTATCTCATTTTCCCCCAAACACTCTAAGTTTGAAAAAAGTAAAAGAAACTGTTAGATAACATTAATAGTTGGGTACTAATGATTTGTAATATTTAGTTTAGGTTCTTAAACTTTTATTATGAAAAGTTTTCAAATACACATCAAGTAAAGAGAATAGCAAAACACACCCCCAGCACACAGCTTCAACCAAATCAGCACTGTGCACATCTTGCTGTACCTACTCCCTTTCCAAACTACTTTTATTTTTATAATATATTTTTATTTTTTAATCATTTTTTATTGTTGTTCTATTACAATTGTCTCAATTTTTCCCCCTTTGCCTTCCTCTGCCCATCCCACCCCCACCACTCCCACAGTCTGTTCCCACAGAATCTAAACAAAATGAACTAACAAACAAAATAGAACCATAGGCATGGAAACATGGAGAAGACTGAAAGTGACCAGAAGGGATGGGTAAGGAGACAATGGTGGAAAGAAGGGGACTGGACTAGACAAAGAACATGTATGAATGACCCACAGCCAAACTTCTTTTCTTTCTGGAGTATTTTTGGGTAAATCCCAATCATTTCATCATCTTGCTCATATTTATATGCTTAATGCAAGCATACAGATTCCTGATCAAATACATGCTTTTTCTGTGTACTTATATACATAGATTTCTCTTTACTTGTATAATCAATTCATATTGTTTTAAACCCTACAAGTAGGACCAGCAGTATAATTTTGATACCTGAAATTGCTTTAGAGTTCTATAATTTTGCATATTTACTTTTTTTCTTGGTAATTTCTCCACATTGTCTTACAGTTTGGTAGTACCTTATTTCATCCATTTGTTGTGTTTTCACTTAATCTCTATATGTTTTCACTTCTGGAAGTCTGTTTCATTCATTTCTAAAACTTCTTTGTTCCCTGCTGCTGTTTTTAAGCTCTTCTTTTGTATTCTTTGCCTGAAGATACCAATACCTAAAGTATTTGTCTTCTGCTTCTGCTAGTTCTCTCTTATAGTACCTTGTTTCCCAGTATATACTTTGTGACGTTTGAATGTGCACCCTTATTTTTCTTAGAACTTGATCTATGGGAATTCCTTGTGTCCTGAGTACAGGTTTATTTCCTCCAGAAAAGATGTGTTTCTGTCTGCCAGTCTTGTTCTACCAATATGAAACCACATTAATCTCTGTTGTGACAGTTTTGGATCACCCAGGTAGTTAATGTGTATTTTAACTAGAAGCCTGAGTGAAGGCCCGTCTGTCTTTATAAATTATGTGAGATTTTTTTTTTTTCCCCTTTACCCTTTGCCAGGGTCCCGGACAGGCAAGTTTCTTTACCTTTTGTGTTGCAGGATTTCTCTCTCTCTCAACCCTTTAGTACTGACATCTTTTATTAGATTCCCTGTCTGGATTTTCTTTCATGTCACTCATTCCCATGCAGACATCAGGGCAGAGCCTTGGTTTTTTATGGTTTGCAGATACCATGACTCTGAAGAAGCTGGCTGTGCTATTACGTAACCTCTCAGGGTTTGTATTTTTGCTTTGTTGTGGGCTTAATGTAGTCTTCAGCAAATTGTTTTTTGAAATGCTTTTATAATTTAAAAAAATGCCAGGAATGTCACTCAGGATATTTACTGTCAAAAAGGGAAGAATAGAGTCACATCTCTCTTTTTTTTTTAAAGAATAATTGGCTTTATTATTTTGTAAATGTGCATTCCAAAGAATCATGGTAGTACACAAAAGAGTGAAGAAGCTAAAATCCTGCAGCCTCAAATTCCCATTTAATGATAAGTGAATAACACTACAGACTTCTCTTTACTGAGGGTCTGGGGTGATGGGGACAAGGGTGGGGGTGAAGGGAGTGGCAGGAGGAAATGGAACTGGAAGCTCTGCTGCCTTTGTGTCCCTGCTTCTCCCCAGGAGGGTTCATTCACTAAGATCCCTCTTAACACTAATGACCAGCTTAGAATCAATGTTCATATCAAACTGAATATTTTGAATTTAGAAACTATTTGTTGGCTCCCTGCTGCAAAGATTGAGGAAATTATTTGTGCTTCCTCTACCTCTGTTTCCCCATCTTTTTAGGTAACTCACATGCCTGCAATATTCTTTTTAGGCCCAAAAGTCCATAGTAGAGCACATGTCAGTGCTGCTCATTCCTTTATTAACCTGGAATTTGGTACTGCATTTTGATCTGCAGATAGTCTTTTTTTATTTCAAGGTACTTTTCTGTTACATCTTTAAAAACATTTTTGTATTTGCTGAGTTCTCTTCATTTAAAATCCAGAGACCCTTTTATTAGTATGTTGGCCCTCCAGATTCGTTTCTTTTGCATTCATTGTGATTTTTCTAAGCTCTTTCACTCTGTCAGAAATTCAGATGTCAGTTGTGCCTTTTCTGTTCCTTGCCTTGTGACCTCGTGACCTTGGGCAAATTACTTATTTATGCCTCCATTTCATAGCACCTCTGCTTCATAGATTTTCTATGAAGATTAAATAAGGTACTACGTATAAAGCATTTATAACAGCCAAAACAGTGTTAGCTATTTCTAATATGTTTAATTCTGAAATGTTTATGTAGCATTTGTTTCCTTTTCAGTGTGGTTTTTTAAGTCATTTAACTTTTCTTATTTTTTTGCTTTTATGTTCTTACTAATTTGTTTATTTTTTATTCCTGAGTTATTGTTTCTTGCAGACTAGGTTCTTCATCTCTTTCACAAGTTCTGTTCTAATCTCACTTTTCCCCCACTCTGGTATGTTGAGTGGCTTCACCGTTTTCTTTTTTCTTACACCTGTTTAAAGGGACCTGTCCAGAAGGTCATTTGCTATGTGAAGTGTTGTGTGCCATTTTATTCAGGGATTACATTCTAAAGCCTGTTTGTGAGGCAGAAATTGAACGTAGTTGAAACAGCTCCCACCTTTTAGCTTGCTTGTAAAGAACAGAATTATCTGATGGGTCCACACCATCCATTTGTGCAGCAACTGCTTGGTCCGAGGCCCATTCTGAGTCCTTTCTAGTTTCTGCGGCCTGAAGACACTGTCAACGGAAGGGAGGGCTCAGCTGGAGCTATGGGTACTCATCCTAAGGTGGGAATGAAGTGTGTACCCAGCAGGGAGTGCATCCTGTCCCAGAGAATTGCCTGGCTCTTAGGTTGTTTGCTTAATTTGTCAGGGATGTTGGTCAGTGCTGGTCCCACTGACTGGCCTGCCATTGATCCCTTCCACAGCCCATCTGTAATCTTTCTCTTTCTTGCTTAGCCGACTTTTTCCCAAATTTGGGGTATGAGTAAGAGCTTTTGGGTTTGGTTGGTTCTGTAGCACCTTTGAATGGGTTGGGTTAGTGTCAGGAGTCTATTCCATCTGTCTTTTGGTTTTTTGCATGGCCATCTTTGTGAAGTCTATGTGTGGGGTCTGCTTCTCCTGATTGATTGTGGCTGTTGGGAGAATGATGGTGCAGCTGCTGACTTTTTCCTTTTTTTTTTTTTTTTTTTTTTAATTTCTTTACAGTTGGAAGAGGGAAAGCCTCTGTTCTAGATTTGTTTCACCAAATTCTTTCTGTTTTTTGCTAGAGCAGTTTTGGGTGTGCTAGGAGTATTTAACTGTCTGAGATAATAGGCTTGACTTTCTGTTCCTCCGTGGCTGCAACGCCTATATGTAATGTCTCATCTCACTGGGCTTGCCCAGCTACTCTTCCACATTCTCTGCCTCTTGCTCTTTTTAGCCCTTCTTTTTCTGCAGGCCAGTTGTGAGTCAGTTCCTGATGTTTTCTTTAATTTAGTATATTTCATTCTGTGCGCTAAACATATTAATTCTTTGAACTTTACCCAGCCTGATTTGAATTTTGAAAGATTGTGAAATATTGTTCTCCCAAACCCAGTAATAGGAGGATTTCTGTTTCCTAATACTATTTTACATAATGTTTTTACTAAGATATATAAAATAAGGCTCATTTTTCTTTACTATATTATAGCTTTAATATTATCTCCTGCTAGGAAGGCTGTAAGAATATTTAGGATAATAATAACAGCAGCTTTTTCGACAGCTGCTTTGTGAAAATCATGTGTCTTCTCATATGTATTCTGCTATACTTGTGAGGAAATGTGAAAAGAAAAGGTAAAATTTCATTTAACATTTCAGTGTATGAATGGAAAATCACTCTGTAAGTCTGAATCCCTGCAAGTCATCCTGCAGACCCTTTGTAAAGACAGCAGCTACCTAAGACCATGATTGAGAGCTGGTACTCTTGTTTACTAGAGCTGGTCAAGTCCCAGCTCTTCCAGATGACAGCCCTTTGATCATATCTTTTCCCTTATTGGTTAAAATGTGGATAATAGTGTAAAAATAGTAGTGAAGTTACATGAAGAGTAAATGAGAATTTTTTAGAAAGCTTTTTAAGATAGTATCTGGAGATATACAAATGCAAACTTTTAACAGTAATAGACAGTATCTGCATTTAAGGAACTTATTGTCTTTGGAGAGGATGTATAGAGATTGATGAGCATCTGGGAGCTGTGCAGCTGAAGTCCCATGAGAGTTCTTCACAGTAGATGGTATTTTTAAATGAAAAGGAGCACAAAGTCATGAAGAGGTGAAGAACATGTATATTGAATAAAAGCACTTTGAAACAAGGTAGATGTGGGAAGAGTAAGAAGTAATTTTGGGGGCAGAGAGAGGAACATGAAGAAAAGCAGAGATAGTCATAGGATATTTATTAGGTGGTACATCTGGTTTTTTGTTTTGTTACTATCTTTTTTCTTTCTGTGTGATTCAGTTTTGACTGGCATACATGGTTCATGGCTTATGAAATGGTGATGGACAGAGACTTGACTTGGGGTGGTGAACACAGAGTGTACAGATGATGTGTTGTAGAATTGTGCACTGAAACCTGTATAATTTTGTGAACCAGTGTCACTCCAATAAATTCAATACAAAGGAAAAGAAGTAGAAAAGTGCCAGGCTATGGAGTTTGTGTTTTCTTTGGTCAGTGGAAGAAGTCATTGAAGGTTTTTGGTTAGCATTGAATAAGGTCATAGCTGAGCTTTAAGGAGATTATATCAACACAGGCTGTTTCTAGTCCTAACCCTAGAATGTGCTTTAAGTAGTATGGCAAGTTTGAGTTTAAAATTGCTTTGTGGGTGAGGTAATTAAGCAGCAGCTTCTGGGCCCTGATTTGGGATGGTGAAGAAGGGGAACCACTTCACCTGGAGAGCTGCTCTGGTTGAAGGTGGGGTACATATTACCCACTCAGCCCCTTCATCAGTGGTATGACCCCAAAACACTGAGGTTTCATTGACTAAAAGGGTTCCTCTGGAAAAAATGTTTAAAGATTCAGAGGCTAGCAGTATACATGTTGCTTGCCTCTGAGAGGGGATTTGGCTGGTGAAGGTTGTTTAATTAGAGGACTTTGCAGTAATCCTGGCATGAAGCAAAAAATGGGGAGATCTATTGACTGAGACAGATGTACAGCCAAAACTCGAGGCCTGGTGCCCTCCTGGATTTGGAAATCCCAAAGGCGACTGGCCACTCATTATAGCGAATTAACTATGCATGCATTGTTGAGCAAATGTTTGAAGGTTTGTTCATTTTCACAGGTGCAAAATCAACATGCAAAAGAAGAGTCTCTTGCTGATGATCTCTTTAGGTAAAGTTGAATTTCAGCTTTCTCATGAATTTTAAAAGAAATATATATAAAATTCAGTTCTGTTCATAGAGATTAAATATTTGTTTTTCTTCTGTCCTGAGAAAAAAAGACTTAGTCCCTTCATCTAAAGAATGTTTTGTTTTTAACATATGATTTCTTTTTTACTCTTTGAGCACCTCTTTGTTGGGTTTACTAAATAGAGCTTCTAAGTTTGCGATTCATTCAGTAAAATTTGTATGGGGACATTCAGTTAAAAGAAGGTTCCTGGGCCAGGTGAATTTGGCTGATAAATTTGTGATATTTTCAACTCAGACTAGAATTATGAATGAATACGTTTTGAATTAAGACAAGTAAAATACCAGACCATTTGTTGAGTTTTAATTGCACATGTATAAAAACAAGAGGCTGGATTAGAGTTTCAAAACAGATTGTTGTGGGAAGTTTAATAGAGTTACAGTGGGTGATTATAATTTAATTCTGATTTAACATATTTTCAGCATTCTTACAGGCCCAACAAACCTTATAATAATTTACCCTCAAATACTCATAAAATAATTCTGTTGTAGGTAGATACTGGTTAGGGGAGAAGAACATTTTTCCAAACTTAAAGGCAAAATGAAGATGATAGTAGATTTTTGAGTCTGTTTTGCAGCCAATTTGATTCTTTAATTTCATTACTGACAATATGAATCAGTGGTCAAAATGCTGACAGACAGTGCTGATTTTTCATAAGTATTCAAATGAGACAATCCGGTTGCCCAGGTACATTTGTGTAATTGCTATAGGAGAACATTTTGTGAGGTAATTATATTTTAGGTTTATTATTGCTCTTTTGTGCAAATGGTATACTTAAATTGTGGGTGGGGGAGAGCAGAGAAATGTTTGAAGCTTTGCTGAAAGAAGTATAAACACATACTTATTTTTAAACACTTTTTGTTAATTTAATGCTTTTATAGATTTTTTTGTTGATGCTTTATCTAATATTTTTATCAAAGCAACATCAAAGGGATAGATGAAAATAAAAATGTCAGTGATTAATATCTGATACTAAGGATAAAATTGGCATTCTCATTCTGTTTGCTAACATGTGACTATATTTTGAAAGCCCTTTAACTTTATTTGATCTTGATTGTATTTTTTCCCATTACTATTTAATCCCCTTATATCCCTCTCCCCCGAGCAATCACCATGTTGTCCATATCCGTAAGTCCTTTTTCCTTTTTGCTGATAGCCCTTTAATTTAAAAAGGAAAGAAATACGATCATTTACCTAGATATTACTTAACCCATTTCCTTCTTTGCAGATACAATCCTAATGTAAAAAGGAGACAATAACTGAGGATTTTATAAAGAAGCTGTGGAAAACATTTCCTGTCAAGCATTACTTCATGTTTCCTCTGGGATATATCCATATAGTACATACAAAGGATTTAAGTTACAAAGATCCTGTGGTCTGAATTTGTTAAATAAAATTCACAAAACTCCATTTCTTTTGTGTGTGGCAAGTAGTATGGTTTGTTGTTTTCAGTCTTTGTCATCTTGTCTCTTGTGGTCATTTTTTTCATTTTTAAATTTGTTTTTTATTTAGTGAGTAGTTGATATAGTCTAAAAATATAAAAGGGTAAGGATTAAAAACTCTCCCTTCCACCACTGTCCTAGCTATTGGTTCCCCGCTTCAGAAAAATACCCATGACACTTATTTCTGATGAGTCTTTCCAAAGATTTTCAATGGTTATTCAAATTTCTATGAATATCATTTTTCCATAATTTCCTACAAAAATGATAGCATAACAAATACAAATTTCTGCACCTTGCTCTTTTTCACTGCATAGATTGGAAGATAATTTTTTTTTAAATTTTGTTTCTTTTCCATTATGTAAGTGGTCTTCCCAGACCTGAAGTGACCTGAATGAATGGATTTCAGTGGTGAAGATGTCACCACATATTCTGGTACTGAAAACTGTGTTACTGGAGATACCTGGTTCTTCCTGCCAATGCAGTAAAGAATTATAGAGATCAGCAAGTCTATTAGTGGGAAAGCAGGGTTTATTAGTGATATGTTCTCATGGAAGAGAAACAGGCCTTGCTGCAGTAGGGGTGAAAGACATAAGGTTCAGGGCATGGCAAGAGCCAGGGTGTCAAGAGCATCAGGTCCTTTGTCCAGAGGACTTAGATAGTTGGTGGGATGGGGGTGAAGAAATTACATATTGACGGGTAAAGGTGGTATCAGCTTTGCCACGGGAATGTGACCACCCAAACTTAGGTATGTGTGGGGGTCTGTTAGCCCACATCCTTATTTGCTGCAAACTATGGTCATTTTGTTGTAAAACAGGTAAGTGACAGGAAGCAGTTAATTAACATTGAGGCAGTTACCCAAAACTATGTATGGGCTCTTTCTCTAAGTGTTAGGGACTCCCTCATAAAACCGTGACCAAAGGTAGGCAATTAACCAAAGTGGTTTTATGAGCTGCTTTGGGCGCTCTGGACCCCCGCTCTCTTTCCCCGTTGTAGGCCTTGGGATGAATACACAGTTTTAAGACTTTCTTTCCCAGATAGTGTTAATGATACATAGAATTTCAAGGGCTTCCGCCCCTGTGCTAACAGTGTTTCTTGCGGTGGTGGAATACCTGGCAGTATTAATTGGACCAGGCTCAGGAGTGCTGAGTTAGTGGGTGAGACACGTCTCCCTCCTCCTCCCTCCCTCGGTTTACTATCTGACCTAAGTTCTAAAAAGGTGTTTCCTGGCAACCAGGATGCTAGTCGCTGGCCAGCAACAGCAGCACAGTCTCAAGAGTTCTTCCTGTGCTATTTCGTACCTCAGCTGGAGACAATGTGGAAGACTTCATCAAGCTTGTGAAAGGGAGAGACCTGTTTAGTAGTCATACTGAGCTGAGTGTCCCTTTGTTTTGAGAGACCTAGGTTTTGTATCTGTAAAGTACAAATAGTAAGATTGTCTTCTATCTTGAGATGGTAAGAAAAAAATGGATGTCTTTTTCAAGTTTTCTGTTGTAACAACTTAGCTGTACATTAGAATTATCATACAGTCTTTTTATCATTCTGAAGACTGGTGCATTAGGTCTTAGAAAGCAGAACAAGGTTTTGATACTCACTGAAAGCTTCCTGGTGTCACATAGGTTCTATTACCCTGACAGGCCTACCTGCATTGTAGAGCATAACATGAAAAATGTTGTTAGAGTGTAACATGAAAAATGGCCCATAATGTAGTTTGTGCCCTTGCTGAATCTTCCTGGAAGATGAAATGTTCCTCCATATCCGGTCATGGGAAGGCACAACATTTAAGTATTTGGCTTAAGATAACTAGACTGTGCCCTGCAAACATATGTCATTTTCTTTCAGGAGATAGTTTGTAAATGTCTTAACTTTTGCTTGTTTCTTTGTTTCATTAGCCCTTCAAGTTTCTTGTTTAGGAAACATTATTAAATATATATTATATACAAAGCATGCCCTCTAATACACTGAATCTGGATTCATGAGTAATGGTTTCTACTCTCTGGATAGTGACAGCCCAAGGTCTTTATAATTCATTTAAGTCTATTTATCATAGAAAATATTTTTAAATAGATGGAAGGAGTCTCCCACTGCTTAGTGTAGGCCCTGCAGTGCCACACAGTTTCCTAAGTCTGTTAAATCTGTCCTGCACAACTCAAGTCAGCCTTGCTTGGGAAGCTGTGCACCTTTCCCCTGGCTCAGGGACACATGTTTCTAGGCCTTTATGTGTTTTAGGGGAAATAAGGGGAGATACAAGTTGCCACCTCCCTTTCTTCATTAGATCAATGGGAACTGTGCCGCCGTTTCTAGCCTGGGGCTTTAGGAAATGGGGTTCACCTCAGCTTCCTGATGGCAGGGAGAAGGTGGTCTGGCCTTGGGCCACAGTCTCACAATCATCCATTCCCCAGCAGCACCTTTGGAGTGCCTGCTGCTCTTCCCTTTTTCAGGGCATAATTGTACTCCGGAATACCTTCCTTCCAGACTTCCTCCTAATTTCACATCTGAAGCCTGTGGTTGGTCACACTAGTGGGAGTCTCCATCTGCCTATTTGAATGATGATCATCCAAATTCTTAAGAGATTGAAGCAAAGGGAGGCTTAGAGAGGGTTCTCCCTGAAGTGTAATATGGTTGCCTGTATAACTTGCTGTTGAACATAATTGCCCTTTTTGTCAGGTGGTCAGCTGCAAGTTTGTAAGCACAATAGTATTGAGTCACTGCTTCCTTTTACTAGAGGATGATCAGGGGTGAGCAGACATAGTGAAAGGCATGTTACTGCTCTGAGCCATGGAATTGAATGTCACTCATCTCTCTCTGTCACTGTACAGGCTAGCCTCTCAAACTAGGAGCACACTTCTAGAGTCAGTTTTATTAACAAATCGCAAGACTTTGCAAATTAAAAGTTGGCTGGGACATCTGGATTCTATTCAGCAGGGAGTGACAGCTGTGGAAAATTTGTGAATGGGGACTTCTAAGTCACTGTAATTATGTGTAAGATACATTATGAAACAGAAGATAAAGACATTTTGATGCTAAACTCTAGTTGAAGTAAACAGAAACCGCTCTGTTTTAAACAGGAAAGGATTTTTTTAACTTTATTTTTATTGTTGACACTATTACAGATGTCCCCATTCCTGTCCTCCCTTTGCCCACCTCCACCCAGCTCCTGCCTCCCCTTCCCTCTGGCCATCACCTCACTGTTGTCTGTGTCTACGCATCAGGTATATATGTTCTATGGCTAATCTCTTTACCTTCTTTCATCCAGTCCTCCCTTTTCCCTCCCTCCTGACAGCTGTCAGTCTTCCATACGTCCATGACTCTGTTTCTGTTTTGTTCATCAGTTTATTGTGTTCATTCAGTTTCACGTATAAGTGAGATCATGTAGTACTTATTTTTTTTCTGACTGGCTTGTCTCAGTTAGCTTAATAATCTCCAGGTCCATCCATGCTGTTGCAAAAGGTAAGATTTCCTTCCTGTTTGTTCATAGCAGTGTTACTGTATTTTGCCATGTATAGTGCACAGTTTTTAGCCCAAATTTTTGAGGGGTAAGTAAGATGGTGCATTATACGTGGGTAGTACTAATTCTGTATCTATATAAATGTTTTTAATTTTATTTACGCTTATGCCGTAAAAGTGTAACTTTAGAAAGCAACGATATCCATATGCAAAATAATACCCTGGAATATAATAATCGCCTTTGTTGAACTTAGGACAAACTTGCAATGAAAGCAGTTTCAGCCAACAATTCAATAAAATGAAAAGTGAGGTATTGTTACCCACAGAGTAAAATAGGTGATGCTGATTGTTATCCACCTGATAAGGTAGGTGATACCAGTTGTTATCCACTTGATAAGAAAGGTAATGCTAACTTTATTACCATAGGGAGCAGCATGACATTTCTCTTTGTATATTTAGGTGGGAGAAATTACTGGAAAATGTTGGAACAGTTTGTGTAAAAACATGTTCCTATGACTACAAGCTTTAAGCTAAAAGTTACTAAGTATGCTAAAAAGCAGGGCAACAGAGCTGCTGAGAGACACTTTGGATCTCCTTCTGCAGAAAGTGTCATCAAATTGCCAGGACAAAGGAAGAAAAGCCTCTTCAGATGCCAGGATAGAAGAGGACAATGTGAGGGAAACATGCAAATGAGCCAGAGGTAGAGCAGGAGGTGAAGATCTGGATTCTGGAACAGCATCAAACTGGGATCTCTGTTTTATCTATGCTACAAGAAAAAGGCAAAAGGATTGCACAAGAAGAAAAAAATTGATGATTTCTCAGGGACACCTAATAGTGCTTTAAATGTATGAAGAAAGTTTGAGCATGAGGATATGAACGAAACTTGCCCCAAAACTTCCAGCAGCCTATAAGAATCAAGCTTTGCAATTTCATTCTTAACGTTATCAATCTTCAAAGGACTTAAAATTTTAAGCTATCCCACATCACCAATATGGATGAGATCCCACTCACATTTGATGTGCCATCCAACAAAATTACAGACATAAAAGGAGCAAAGACCATGGCTGTTAAAACTAGTGGTCATGAGAAAACACATTTCACTGTTCTAGCCTATTCTGCAGTTGGGATAAAGCCACCTACCACCTATGATCATCTTTAAAAGGAAAACTTTTCGAAAAAAAAAGATTCCAAGTGGAGTTATTGTCTATGTGCATGAAAAAGGGTGGGTGAATGAAGAAGGCATGAAAATTTGGTTTAACAAAGTGTGGTTATGAAGGCTTGGAGGATTACTAAAAAAATAAACAGTATGGCTTGTTTTTGATCACTTCCAAGTCCATGTTACACAAAGTGCAAACACAATCACAGCAGACCTGCAAACCCAATTTGCTGTGATACCTGGTGGGCTAACCAGCCAACTGCATCCTCTTGATGTGTCAGTAAACAAGCCCTTTAAAGCCCTAATGAAGAAAGAGTGGATATCATGGATGCAGTCAGCTGGTAATGATTTAATACAGGCAGGATCAAGAAAGCATCCATTGCCCACATTTGTGATTAGATCCTAAGATCGTGGAAA